GCAGGGACCAGGGCTCCATTCCTGGCCTGGCGTGGCAGCCTTGCCCCAGGGCGTGCTGAGACAGTGACCGAGACTGGGTGTGATGGCATGTACCTGTAATCCCAGCACTTAGGAGGCTGAAAACAGGAGAATCACTACACGTCTGATCTGTGTAGTGAGACCCTGTAAACCCTGTACTAAATACACAAAATAAATAAATAAATAAAAGAAATTCTTCAGTGATTCCTATTACCATTAAGAGATTTCTCACTCTTTTTTCTAACCTCTTTTTAGAGTTTGTTTCTTATATAATTGCTTTATTGAGTAATAACTCAAATACCATAAAATCTATTCTTTTTAAAGTATTCAATAGTTTTATTTTTTTTAAATTTACTTAGTACAAGGTCTACAGGATCTCACTACACAGATCGGACTTGTAGTGATTCTTCTGTTTTCAGCCTCCCAAGCACTGGGATTACAGGCGCATGCTACCACGCCCAGTCTCAATCACCCTCTCAGTGCACCCTGGAGACAGGGTCGGCCTGACAGCCTGGGGATTGAACCCCTAGACTCCTGAATCTGCCTATGCAGGAGCTTTAATCCGCTGAGCTATCTGGCCAGCCCTGATTTAATGATTTCAATATATAAAACTAATCTACTATCTGTTTCTATAGCTTTGTGTATTCTGAACATTTTATACAAATAATCACGTCATGTAGCCTTTAGACTAGTATCTCTCATGTAGCATAGAATTTTTAAAGTTCATACACATTGCAGCATGCACCTGCATTTTACTCCTTTTTATTGCTAAGTACTATTGCATGGGTACTTTGCTTTCCCTGCAATCAGCAGATGGCCCCCATGATTAGGTTATTACTGTTGCTGTGGACATTTGCCCACATGTCTTTGTATGGAAGTGTGTTTTCATGTTCTTAAGTAAAACTCTAGGAATACAGTTGCTTAATTATATAGGTTTTGAGGAACTGGTAAACATTTTTCCAAGGTGGTTGTACCATTTCACAAACCCACCTGTAATATCTTGGAGTTCCAGCTCCTCTATATTCTCAACAGCACTTATTTTCCATTTTTAAAATTTTAGGGCCAGGGAGATAGCTCAGTGGTATAAGTACCTGCCTGGCAAGCACAATGTTCTGAGTTTGATCCCTAGTACCAAAAAAAAAAAAAAATCATTCATATGTGTGGTGGTGTTTGATCATGGCTTGATTTGTATATTTCTGGTGACAAATAATAAAAACACAAGTTTTATGTGCTTATTGGCTATTTATATATGTTCTTTGGAGAAATGTTCATTCAAATCCCCAGCCCATTTGCGAATTGGGTTATTTATCTCTTCATTTTTGAGTAATAATTATTACTTTATTATTAAGAGTTGTTACATATTCTGCATACCAATCTCATCAGATATATGATTTGGGCAAATTTTCAGCTATTCTGTCAGTTGTCTTTTCACTTTCTTGAATGTCCTGTGAAGCACTTTTTCCCATAATTTTATTGAGAAACAAATAGCAATGAGACAGTTCCAAATCAAATTGGTAGGACAATGGGCTGGGGAGATGGCTCAGTGGAATAAGCACTTCCCTGGCAAGCACAAGGGTCTGAGTTCAATCCTTGGTTCTGAAAAAAAAAAAAAAAAAAAATTGGTAGGACAGTTTCAACAACCAACACACCACATACTCTCCTCCCAGTGGCCATTTGCTGTACAAGACGCAGACACGACATCCTGTCCACAAACACCACTAGAACAAATCCCTCCACTCATTAAGAGAATGTAACAATACATCCATCCCAACCACTCTGAATACACTGATACAAAATGGACATTCATCTATATCCCCTTTTTTGTTTACTTCTGTTATTTGAATATTATAGGTATGTGAACTCAGCAAAACATTCTAATAGAGTCCAGCAGTCCATAATAGTATTGCGTCTTCCGCTTGACTGGCAATGTCAGAAATTGACAATTTAAGTCCTCCAAGGCTCAACATAACAACATGGCCTTACTTCTTATATTTCATTTTTATACTTTTCTGCTGGATGGTTAAGAGCAAGACCTATGCAAGTAGAATTGTAGCTCTTGGATCTGACAAGGTTAGTCACATCCCCTCAGGATTTATTGTGAGACCACCCTGTACCTCAGATTGTAGATCCTCTGTCAGTGTCAGTCATGTGGATGAGTCACGGCCACCGCCCAGCCAACTTGCTCTCTGTGAAAGCCTGAGAGAATGTTTTCTCTCCATGTGACTCTCGTTAGGCACACTCTTCATCATCGATCACCCTCCTCCTCACAATCTCCTCAATCAGAAAATTTGGGACACAACTGAGCTACATGACTTTACAGTACAAGTTCTCATATGTCCTGAGTCTTAATTGACCTTGGAAGGTCAGGGCCAAAATGCTGACTTTCCTTGTGGCCCTCTTTTTTCTCTAATTCTTGGTCTGTAAACCTAGGTTGCCAACCCTCCAGAAGAGAAGCCCATTGTCACTACCATACAACCTAGGCTGTTAAGCTCAACCTCACTATCTGTCTGAATATCAAACATCCCAGGCACAACATGGAACAGGCACCTTTCATCAAGTATTGATATGCCAAACCCCAAGTCCCTACAGAATATGATGAAAAAAATAAAAAAATTAAAATGTATTCAAAAATAGGAATAAATAATTACATAATTCTTATGTTTAGACATAAGTCCAGAAATCCAACCATATGCAACCCTGTAGCAGGACAGTCCTGCAACATTTCCCCTCCTGTCTCCTGCCCTCATTCACCACCCCCCTCTTTTCAAACAATCATCCACCCGAGAGACAGCATGGCAGCAACTGGCATGTCATGAGAAGCAGCCCGTATTCTGAAGACCAGAATGACAGGCACTCCAAGCATGAACCCACTACTACAAATTGCCATCTTTAGTGCAGTTGCCTACTTCACAGGTGTCAACACACACAGTTAGTCAGAGTGAGAATCCCCCCAATCAACCACTAGATTCAAAAATCCTCTGCAGACTCTCAGGATCATTGACCCATCCATCACAATTTTGTTTTTATTTGATATTCAATTATATTATTTCTTTGAGTTTTTTTTTATATTCATTTATTTATTTGAGACAGGGTTTCACTGTGCAGTTTGGGCTGGCCTTGTGCTCGCTTTTGTAGCCCCCAGGCTGGTCTCAAAACTCCTAAGTGCTAGGATTTCAGGCATGCACCACCATGCCTGATAGTTACTTGTGTTTTGATGTTATATCTAAGAATCGATTGTCTAATCCACGATCACAACTTACACCTATGTTTTCTGGGAGTTTCTTAGTTTTAGCCCTTTATATTTAGTTCTGTGCTCCATTTGTGTTAATTTCATATGATGTGAATATGGGATCCAAGTTTGTCTTTTACAGGTGGATATCCAGTGTAAATATATCTTTTTTTGAGATGCAATCTCACTGTGTAGGCCAGACTGGCCTTGAACTTGTGGCTATCCTACTGCCTCAGCCTCCTGAGTGCTGGAATTGCAGAGTGTGCCACCACCCTGGCTCCCCCACTCTCTCTAGTACTGGGCATTGAACACAGGACCTTTGCACTGAGCTCTATCCCTCAGCTCTTTAAAAAAAGAAATTAAAAAAAAAATTGGTATAGCTCTTGTGAGTTGTACAGGCTGGGTTTGAACTTGTGATCCTCTTGCCCCAGCCTTCCAGGGTGCTGGGGTTACAGGCATGAGCCCAGCTTCTCTGACCCTTCTTAGGTTTCTTTCTTAGCCATGCAGCTTTGTCTTCTGTCTCATCCTCAGTTCATCCAGACCCATAAACAACTGCTCCTTCTCACCCCGCCCTGCATCTCTACACACTGTTCTTTTCTACTGGAAAATCTCCATTCCCCTCTTGCCATATCTCCTGGCTGTCTTCTCTAAAATGAACTGGCATTAGTCTTGTATATCACATCTTTCAAAAAGCCTTTCCTAAGTCCCCAAGATTGTTTTAGGGACAACAGTTGTGTGCTGCACAAGACGCTGTACTCAATACCAGGAAGATGCTTAACATCTGAATATATTCCCCATTGCTAAGCACAAAAACACAATCTCTTCAAAGACAAGGCTGTTTGTACCTGGCACATATTAGATACTCAGTAAATACCATATTAATGGATGAAATCAGGAAGTCAAGGAAGAAGACATTTTTTTTTTTTTTTTTTTTTTTTTTTCAGAATCGGGGATTGAACTCAGGCCCTTGTGCTTGTCAGAGAAGCACTTATTCCACCGAGCTATCTCCCTGGCCCCCGGAAGACAGTTTTGAAAGGAAACCATAATTAGTATTTTGTATTACTACATAGAACTAAGAAGAATGAAATTTGAAAAATGCCACTGGATTTTGACTATTTTGGGAAGTTTCAGTAGCATTGTGAAGGAAGAAGCAAGAAGAGAGTGTCTTACAGATTGAATCAGTGATCAGAAGGGAAGCTTTAGTTATACACTGTTGCCAGAGTTTATTGCTGAATAAAGGAGAAAACTAAAACAGCAGTATGAAGCAGTTTAAAAGGATACTGTTTAAAGATTGAGCTTTATTGCTATGAGCTCTTCAGCTTCTTTCCTGAACTTCAGAGAGTTCACTTGTTAATGAGAATCCTTTTCCTGGCTTCTTACACTGTCATTTCTAACGTCCCCCTTGATTTCTTCACTCATCCTTCTCTTGCCCATCAAATGTCAGCCCAATCTCTGTGTGTGAATGTACGAACAAAGTACACTGCACTCTGTATATGGGTCTATCTGGCTGATTGAAGTATCCTAGAAATCTAAAGATTCCTGAGGGCAGCCAAGGCCTTTCCCCAAAGAAAGGTAGCATGGTGGAGTTGCTTATTTAGATGGAAAAAGAGCAGTATGAGGTTCCTAATACCTGAGGGCACAAAAAGAATAAGTCTCCTCTCTGCCTCTCATTCCCTTCTATCATCCCCTATGTCACTCAACCAGACCGGAATGAAATAGCTTCCTGATTTTATTTTTTGTATTCTTAGTGATTTCACCATCAACCCTGATCCATTTTCTCCTTCGTGGCATTTTTCTCCCAGAGGTAGATATGCCTGACCATGAGACCCCCAGCTTGGCTGGCTTTCACCACCAGCCTCACGCAGCTCACGGGGTATGCCATGCTTTCCTGCAGTAGCTCCTGGTCCATCTGCCCTTCCACAAGCCAGCCCAGCAGTTCGAAGCTGGCACAGTCCTGAGGCATGCCCTGGGCGTCATAACCTAGCTCTACCTGGCCCTTCCCTAGGGCGTACCTGCCCTCCACCAGGGAGCCTGTCATCACCTGCACTCTGCTCAGCCTCACTGGGTGGTTCAAAATCACTGTCAAGTGGTTCCCTTTGCGCGTGTTGTTTGTCCAAAAGAATGACTCGTCCAGAGTGTAGGCCTCCCAGGGGAAGTGAGCATCAGAAACGAACATATTGGTGAAGACAGATGCAGGGGGGTTACTAGGACCGTAAGGGATTTTCTCAATTACTGCATCCTCCTTGTCATCCAAGTGGGGGTGTGACAACCTGTGGTAGAAGAGGAACGGACTGAAGAGGATCGGGTTTTCCTGGACCAGGAGGGTGCGGAAGTGAAGGATCAACTTGTTCAGGGGCTTCTCCCTGCCAAAGAGGAGGAGGAAGTGGGCCAGGAGGGGGAGGTCCCTGCTGTGGAAGAGTTTGCCAATGATGCCTGCGTTGGAGAACTCCAGCAGAGCCCAAGGGCTGGGCTGCAGGGCGGCCACCTTGGAATAAATGCGGGTGACAAAGTTGGGGGCACAGAAGACGTCGTCCCCTATTAACAGGAAGTAATCAGAGAACTTCGCAGCGAAGCTCATCAGGAAGGCGTGATCTACGTTCTCCTTAGAGTAGCGGTCCTTGTGGGCCTCAGCGCTGCCCTTGCCATCCTCAGCGAGGTAGACGTCAGGTGGAGCGTGGATCAGCAGCAGCTGCCCTGCCAGGATCTGGGCGCTGAAGAGGCTGGCAATCTGGGCAGTAGTGTCTTGGAGCCAGGCGAGGTCAGAATATGCCAGGTGCACCAGCACGGTGAGACGTTTCTGCTCGGCCGCGGAGGAGGCGTTGTATAGGGAGGCCAGGGTGTACAAGAGGCTGTTTGGATCCTGTCCTGACACCGCGGAGATCCCCACCGTCAGCCATGCTAAGGAAAGGGAAAGTAGGGACAATTGTCAGTGTAGGCTGGAGGACAGGGCTGTCGAAAGGATTAGTGCAGGGATGCTACAGGGGTCTTCTGTCTTTCTTCCATCTCCTATTTCCTTCTGATGTTTCCAGCGGCAGAGGAGATGTCTACACCCTTGCTGCTCTAAGCGTGTTCCTTAGTCTAGCCTCATCTGCCAGCTCATTAGACTTGCAGAACCTTGACCCCAGCCCCAGAATCTGGGCTTTGAGGGTATCACCATGTGACTCATACACACACCAGCATTTGAGAAGAAATAAGCTAGGTCTCTCAGTCCCTGTGAGTCGCTTTGAGTCTTTGAATCTAAAACTCATCATTTAAGTGCTCAATACATAAGCTATTATTCTAGTTATTATAACTCTTTTATTTTTAGCCAGTTCGTTCTCCCAAAGGCCTTCTTTGAAGTAGTAAGTTAGAAAAAATATTTTCCTTAGCAGTCAGGGAAACAGACTTTTCACACTGAGCTACATTTTCAGCAGCCTCCCCCCCACCTTTTTTTTTCTTAATTTTCATTTTAAGACATAGTCTAAGATTCTAGGTTGTCCCACCAGGGCTAGAATTTGTGATCCACCTGCCTCAGTCTCCCAGAGTACTGAGATTATGAGTGTGGGCCAATATGCCCATGTAACCCTGCATTCCGGTCCCAGTTCTGCTACTGGCTGTGTGATCTTGAACCAGTCCCTTCATCCCCAAGTTTAGGTCTAAATTTATAAAAGCAAGAGAACTGTACTGTGTGTCTCTTCCAAATGTCATCCAATCCAGTGTGGCACTGCTGGTGGAGCACTGCACACAGCTGCCTTTCAAATGTGCTCTAGTCCAGCAATTTCACCTTCTTATAACAACTCTTTCCCTCCAGTGATTCCATCTTTTTTCATGTTATGCATTTTATTTACTTTTTGTATTGCTCTATCGAAACATGAATGTTGGCAACTTTATCCTCAACTGCTTACATGTTAATGCTATACAGCTGCACAGCCTTCCACTTCTAGGGTTGGTCACAATTGCAGATTCAAATATGAAGTTATATAAAGAAGAATCCTGTTCTTTGTTGCTCACCCAGTATGAATATGTGCAGTCTTGCAGATGAAAGGAAACACGTGTAATGTTCCATAATGTTTTAGAATATGTGATTAGCATATTGACTCCACCTTGTTATAACAGCTCATTTCATCTTTTTGCTCCTTCCTCATACCCTAATATGTAAATATCTCGTGGGGGGGATCATCTGCTAAATTGAAATAGTCCTAAGTGCAGTTCTATCTTTTCTTTCTTTATATGTATTTGGTACAGGGTCTACAGGGTCTATAGGGTTTCACTATGTACATCAGAGTTGTAGTGATTCTCCTATTTTCAGCCTCCCAAGCTCTGGGATTACAGGTGCAAGCCACCATGCCCAGTCTCAACCACTTTCTCAGCTTAACCTGGGGGCAGGGCTGGCCTGGCTGCTGCACTCTGCCTAAGCAGGTGCATTAGTCTGCTGAGTTATCTGGCCGGCCTTTTCATTTGATTTTTATTTTTTATTTTAAATGCTTTTGTTTGTTGGCTAGTTTGAGACAGAATCTCACTGTGTAGTCCAGGCTGACCTAGAGTTCATAATCCTCCAAGATTACAGGTATCTACCACCCAGCTCAACTAATTTCTGCCTTTTCTCCTCCATCTTCCTTATTCCCCATTGCTACACATCCATCTTTCTATCTCTTATCTTTCTCCCTCTCTTCCAGTACTGGAAATTCAATCCAGTGGTGCTCTAGAACTGAGCTCTATCCCCAGCACTTTTTAATTTTATTTCAAGACAGGGCCTCACTGAATTGCCCAGGCTGGTCTTGAACTTGCGATCCTCCTGGATCTGCCTTCCAAGTAGCTGGGACCTCACATGTGTACAACTATATCTAGCTACACTTATTTCTCCTGGAAGACCATATCCCACCCATTCCTTGGCACTCACTCTTCCTTCTCTTCTGGATCTTTTGTGTATATTTGAGGGTGATGGTGTGCCAGTCTTCCAGGGGCTTCGAGGTCTTCTTACTGTCATAATTGGCTTCCTGGGGCATCAACAAAGGCAAAGCAGAGAAATTCTTCTGTAAAGACAACATCATTTATCCTCCAGTGGCTTCAATAAGCTTCAAAAGGAAAAGGGGGAACGGATCACTTTTCCTGGAGCGAGTCCAGCCCCTCCTCAAGATGCCAAGGATCCAGGGCCCAAGCAGCACCAGTTCACTGCTGCGCCATAACACATGAAAAGTGAGCGCACTCTCTCCCCCTCCCCCTTTCTCTCCCCCTCTGTCCCCCTCCCCCTCTCTCTCCCCTTCCCCTTCTCTCTCCCCTTTCCCCTTTCCCCCCCTCTCTTCTCTCCCTTCTCTCACCTCTCCCCCCTTCTCCTCTTTCTCCCTCTCCTTCTCTTTCCCTCTCCCTTTCCCTCTCTCCCTTTCTCCCAAAAAAAAAAAAAAAAAAAAAAAAAAAAAAAAAAAAAAAAAAAAAAAAAAAAAAAAAAAAGAAAGAAAGAAAGAAAAAGAAAAAGAAAGAAAGAAAAGAGAGTGCGCTTCCTCCGGGGCCCATGCCACCCTCTCAGGTGGAGATGCACAGGAAGAAGCGCAGCCCGGGTGCTCCGGGGAATCCTCTGTCCTCGCCGTTCCCACCCTGCACCCCCGAGTCCCAGCTGTGAGCAAGGTCGCTACTTGGCCTTTCATAGTCATCAGGCGTTGGCCATGTTCAGTCTCCTTGGGGATCTGCAAAGTGACGAAGAGCCACAAGAGCATGATGCCCACCGAGGTTGCGAAGCAGCTCCTGCTGGACCACCGCATGGTGTCTGCCGCCGATGGTTCCTGCAGCAGGAAGTCAACACACACAGAGGAGGACTCCACCGTCCCATCCACATCCAGAACCCTGAAAGCCCCGCACATGCATTTCACCTCCTTCCTCGGGACCAGCGCCCTCCTACGCCCCAGCGCACCCTGCATCTGAGGAGGCTCGTTCCCTGCCTACACAGAAAGGCGGCCAGGCCCGTGGTGACATTCACTGCCTTTGTTGGTAGGTTTCTTTGGAGGTTCAGCTTTGGCAGAGTTTCCTGGCTCGGAATGAGCAGATTGGCTGGGGCTTCTGTGACGGGGCCAGCTCCTCTGAGAGACAGATGGCCAGGGGCCCCACCCCATTAAGTAAGTCAAACTACTCATTAAATTAGCTGAAATTGGAGGTTACTGAGATCTGTGCTAAATGGGTGCCATCCTTGCTGTTTTAGATACAAGGCAGCCTCAGCACTTCCACCTTTAATCTTATCCACAGGCCTTGGTTAAAACAGGACTCTGTTAGCTTAGGGTAAAGCTGTCCTTTCCTGGGTGTGGGGCTATGGAAGCCAGGCTGGCTCAGCCTCCGAAGTGCTTGCACAGGGCCCTCTTCCTCTGGATTGTGCCTAGAATATCAGAGGAAAGGCTTGAAGAGTTTGTCCCACTCTCAATTCTTGTCCTGCACACTCAGCACACAGAAGGAAAGCAAGTGTGGTTTGAGTTCTGCGCTAATGAAGCTATAATAGTCTCCAGTCATTCTAGTTAGGGAAGTGTCTAGGTTAGGTTTTTTTTTTTTTTTTTTTTTTTTGGCCAGCTTAGTCCACCCTGGGGGAGGGGCTGGCAAGGCATGTGGTGCTGGGGATGAAGATCTAACCGCAGTCCCTGAGCACTTTGCCTAAGCAGGCGCTTTAGACCGCTGAGCTATCTTGCAGGGCCCTAGATTAGTTTTGGATAAAAGTCAACATGTTTTGTTTCCTGCACCTACGTAGTATTTTGACAAGGGTTATAAAAAATACTTACAGCTGGATTTGGGGGTACATGCCTGTAATCCCAACATTCTGGAAGATGGAGGCTGGAGTACAGCAAGCTTGAGGCCAGCCTGGGCAACTTAACAACTTAACCAGACCTTGTGTCCAAAATAATCAGTAAATCAATCAATCAACTGGGCTGAAGAGGTAGGTCAGTGCAAAGGCCCAGGGTTCAATGCATAGTACATAAATGTAGTGAAGCTTTATTTTGTTTTTCCATAATTTTATTGAGAAACAAATAGCAATGAGACAGTTTCAAATCAATTGGCAGGACAGTTTCAATAATTAACACATTGTATACTCTCTTCCTGGTGGTTATTTGCTGTACAAGATGCGGACATGATATCTTATTTACAAACACTATTAGAACAAATCCCTCTATTCATTAAGAGAATGTAACTATATATCTATCCTAACCATTTTGAACACACTGATACAAAACGGACATTCATCTGTATCCCCTTTTTTGTTTAGTTTCATCATTTGAGTATTATAGGTGTGTTAACTCAGCAAAATATTCTAAAAGAGTCCAGTAGTCCATAATAGTACTGGGTCTTCCACTTGACTGGCAATGTCAGAAATTGTTGACCTGAGTTCCCTACAGCTCAACATAACACCATGGCTTTACTTCTTATACTTCGTTTTTATACTTTTCTGCTGGATGGTTAAGACCAAGGTAAAGCAAGACCTATGCAACAAGAGTTGTAGCTTTTGAGTCTGATAAGGTTAGTGAAATCCCCTCAGGATTTATCCTGAGATCC